CCGCCCCTAGTCACGAAGTCCGCGGACGAGTAGCGTAAATTCGCGCGCTGCTCCTCGACAGTCGTCACAAACCACGATCGCGGTCCTCGAATATCCGAGACATGACGCAGCAAAATGGCAGGATGCACCTTTAACGTAAACGTTCCAGAGGCTACGACTGTTAAGCAACTGCAAAGGTATATTCGTGATCCTCACCAGATGTCTCGAGAATCGGCACCTGCAGCAAGTCGAGGATGCAGTGGTGAGTTCATCAGCCACGGGACGATACGCAAAATTAAAGAGTGAAATTATCCGCAAACTGGCTGATTCAGACAGCAGGAGAATGCGAAAGTTGCTGGAGTCTAAAGAAATGGGCGAAAGAAAGCCGTCCCAATTTTATCAATACCTAGGAAAACTCACCAGGCACGTAGCATCCCCAGTCGGAGCATTCGAAGCGTCAACGGGTAAATTTGATCACATACATATACACATACACATACACATACACATATCGTGATGCAATATTCGCAAGGCTACCGATATTGTCTAACGTGTATCGACCGGTTCTCGTGTTGGCCCCAAGCAATATGTTGGCCCCAAGAAATACCCATACCCGACATGGAAGCATCAACCATTGCTTCAGCTCTCCTTTCCATTGTACCATCGAAAATAACAACCGATCAAGGACGCTAATTCGACTTATAATTGTTCAAGGTACTATTTCAGTTCTCGGTATCAAACATTTATGCACGGCGGCCTATCATCCTGCGTCCAACGGGATGGTAGAGCGCCTACATCGACAGTTGAAAGCGGCGATAAAGTGCCACGACACGAGCAACTGCGTCGAAATTTTACCTATAGTATTGTTAGGCATTCGAACCGCGATAAAGGAGGACGTAAACGCAACGACAGCCGAAATGATTTATGGCACCGGCATACGATTGCCGGCGGAATTTTTCATCGCAAATGAGCAGCAAGCCAACACGGAGTATGCGAACCGGCTTAAAGGACAGATAGGAAAGGTCAGGTCGCATCCGGCTACGCGTCATGGAGGAAGGAAAATTTTCGTTTTTAAAGAATTAGAATCGTCGCCGTATGTTTTCTTGCGTCATGACGCGATAGATTTCCATAAATCGTTTAAAAGCGGCGTTCGTGGTCCCAGATGACCTTGAACAGAAGACCGCCGAACCTCGGGACATACTTATTCCGATAAAGTAAGCGAATGCGCGCGATGAAAACAGCGCAAACAGCGGTCGAACAGCAGAGGAAAATACTAGGAATAGGTATGTTACGCGGTATGGTCGTAGAGTTTGTTTTCCCGACTGGTTCTAGGCAGGTCTCGATTAGGTGTTCTAGATTGTCGGATAGATGTATTGATAATAAAAATAGCGACGACAAGAGAAACTTGGTAGGTATTTTATAAGTTTAAATTAAACGTCATCACTGGAAGGGGGTAATGTAGCGGCACGTGAGCAGAACAATTCAAATCCTGTTGTTGTTTTGCTTCGGAGTATCAAGACCGTTACAAGTCACAAATATTGTAAGGAGTAATGAACTCCGCTACTAACAACCGTCAAACGCAGTCGAGTTCAAATTTTCTGGCTGTCCCCTGACCAGTATAAATAAACAGACGCAATCACGAGCGACAGAGTTCATCGAACAGAGTCGAAGCATTCTGGCGCATAAACAAGCATCGCAGTGATCTACGAAGTCTCTCTGCGTGTTTAACGGGTATTTATACTGTAACTCAAAATTGTACCAGCGGACTCGCAATTTGTCCGTAATTGATTATTCAATTGAAAATATATTTAACGGATTGCAATAATTTGTCTTCGTTATTTCGCTTCACCAGAACAGACCTATCCTTCACAAATAAATAAGTAATGGTGTGCCGTGTAATGAGGAGGCTATAGGAGATACGTGGCGATTAGTAGGTTGGAGTATGTAGCGGTTGTATGTAATGCACCGCTTTAATATTTTAATATTTTTATTTATTTTCTTTATTCTTTTATTTTATTTTATTTATTTATAATTTTGTATTTATTAAGTAGTTGTACTTTTTTGTCTTATTTATTTATTATCTATTATTTTAAATTATTTATTTACTTACTTATTTATTTATTTAGTAAGTTATTATTTATTATTTTATATTTATGCATTTATTTATTTATTATTTGTTGATCATTTATTTACTTATTTATTCATCTGCCTACGTGACTAATTATTTTATTTAATGTTATTGATTTATTTTATTATTTATTACTTATTGTTCATTATTTCGTACATATTGTTTTGTTATTTATTTATATTGTGGCGTTTGGGCGCGCATCATCGTGTCTTTAGCAGAATGTAGGCGTTAAACAGACAAGTGAATCGTAGATAGCACAATATTACTGTATTTATACTATCATCTGATCGGCTTATTTGTTGACGACCTGGCGAGTTTATGGACAACGATTGAATACTTTCGGACGGGCAGGATGTTGACGACTTGGCGATGTCTATGGACTATTCAATTATATATAATATGGACAAGGTGAATAAAGTTAATAAACCTACGGCGCAGGGGGTATCGGAGCCCCCAGGCCCCGTCGGGAACACGACTGACTTACCAGATTCGACCCGACGGTCATCAAGTTACCGGAAGAACGGCTGGGGGGAGGTGGAACCCCAGACACCTCCTTGTGCGGTAAGAGCTACTGGGGAGAAGGAGAAGGAGAAGGGCAAGTTGAAGAAGGCGATAGTGGGAGGAGAGAAATCGAGGATGGTTTCTGATGTAAAACTGAATGAGAGTGAATCTCAGCTATTCCGAGGAAAGAGTGGGGAGGGGGGAAAGTGAGGATTTCTGCCCCTTTAAACCGAGAAGGAGGCTTCAGAGGAGCCCTACGATTAGTGAAAGGACGGAGGTAGGAGTGGTCGAGGAATCGGAGGGTTAAGAAACCTTTGGAATTAGAGGGAGCGAGCACAGTACGCCGGTAACAGGGAAAGGA